GTCTGGTGGGCGAGGGCCTCCGATGGAGCATCCCCGGGGCCCTGGCAGGGTCAGGCGCTGCACTGCGGCCGCTCTCCTTGTGCTCCCTCGGCTGCGGGGCTGCTTTGGACTTTCTTTTGATGCAAATCTCACAGCAAGCAGGTCGGGGTGTTTTCATACTGTAGAGTAGCTTTATAAAGCCAACCGAGTGTTAAAGGGTTTTGTTGTACAGTGCTGAGCTGTGGTACTGTAAAGCCAAGTAATTGTATTATAAATGGCGTCTGCCATAGCTGCGGCAGCGGGTTCAGCTCGCCATGAGCCCACCCTGAGGAGCTGCCCCTCGTCCCTGTTTGTGTAGGTGCAGATGAGCTGCCAGCCCTGCCTGTTCCCCTCCACGTGTGGGGTGCTCTCTGTCCCCCCATCAGGTGGGGTCACCGGGGCAGGGGATGGCAGGAGGGGGCTTGGGGGGGTCCTGGGGTCTGCGCTGGGGCCCTGGGTGTGTGGCTGATGGCCACCGAGCACTGATGATACCTGTGTCGAGAGGAGCATCTGCTGTCCTCTGCGGCCAGCGACATGCCCAGCCCCTTGCTCCCAGCGCCCGACCTCTGCTGGGCAGGGGTCTCCTGTCCCCCCGGGCCCCAGTACTGCTGTAGCTGACACAGGCGTTACGGTAACCATGGCTGCTGGGAGAGGCTTTTTGCCGGGGCAGGGTGCCAAGCCCTCTTCTAAGGGAAAACGTTTGAATAATTTCCTGCTGCGTGGACTTGGCTGGCTGGGAGCACTTCAGTAGTAAATCCTGGGATGTTTACTAAGGGTGGCCTCCGTGCCCTGCCCCACTGTGCTGTGCTGCCTGGAGCTGGGTGTCAGCCCTGCCTTGGCTCTGGGACCACCCTGGGACCTCTGGTGGGACCTCCCAGGATCCTCTGCTGTGGAGCTGCAGGTGAAGGACGAGGGGGGGTGTGGGTTTGGGAGGAGAAGCTTGCTCTTGCCCTGAATTAGGCTATAAAGTGACTCAGCCGAGTAGTCCTATAATAGCCCTGCTTGTAAGGGCAGAGCAGGAGGCCCTGGCTGCGTGCTGCGGCCGGGCTGGCTCCATGGCAGGGCATGGACTCTGCCCTGTGGCAAACCTCTCCTCCCACGGCAGCCCGGCCGGGGCGGGTCTGCCCCGTTCCTCCCTCCCGCCTCCGCTCGCAGAGGCAGTGGGGCTATATTTAGTCGGATACCTTTGCTCGCAGAAACAATCTGCAGCACTGGGAACTACGAGAGCGGTGCTCAGCTCGGAGCCCCTCGCCTACCTGTAAAACGGGAGCTGGAGTAAGCCCTGGGGCATGGCGTAACGGGCAGGACCCCTGCCTGTGCCTGTGCTGGTGGGGTTGGGGGGCGTTGGCCCCTGCGCAGGGCTGTGCTGGTGCTCGGCCAGCCCTGGCTCTGCACCCTGAGCGCATGCGGGGTGCTCGAACCATCCCTGGGTGCCGTGGGAGAGCTGCCGTTCTGCGGGGATGGTGTCCCAGGGACACCCCCAGGCCCTGCTTACCTGCTGTGGCACCTCTGCCAAGGGCTGCAGAAAGCCCCTGGGGATGGGGTGCTGCCCCGGCCAGGAGGTC